GAAAATTGATTTTGTATTTGATTTGAATCGTAATTTATTTGATTTTGAACAATTCTGTGATGTAATAAGATTTGATACGATTTTGCTTAGTTGATACGATCTTATTTGTTATGCATTTTTGGATTGAATCTCCACAATACTTATTTTGTTGTTTTTTGTTTTCTGGGCTGGATCGAAATTAGGGTTTCTTTCCCTAAGTTGACTTAGTCAAACTCTCACAGAAGTAACAGTAGAATAGTAAGTAACAACAATAATAATAATATTAATAATGTTTTGAATAATAAAAAATAAATACAACAAAAACACATATGGACTTCTATTAAGAAGAGAATGGGCCTTTAATTTTAACAAAGTGTATAACCCAACTAAGAAAACACACCTCTCTTGTTCATTATAAACGGGCTTCAAAAAAATAACTTAATGGGCCCAAATGAACCAAGATTTCATTTTCAGCAAGCAAACTCGTTTAATAATATACCTCATTTCAAATTATAAGGAAAGCTTAATGGGCTATCAGATTTTGATGGTCTATTTTTGAAACAATACACCCCTTTATAAACGTGAACCCCATATACATGAATTTAACAACAATATATTATAGAGGAAATGATTCTACAAGGAACTAATAACAATAAGGAATAAATTATTCTGAAATCAGTAGGACAAATTTGGGGTATGACAAGACTTTGCCCGTTTTTGTATATCTGACTAGTTTGGGCATGCGTGCCACATTTTTGTCAATGTTTTGAGCTTGCATGCCCTTTTCTAAGTAATGAATAAACACTATCGGCCTTTGTGGTCAGCTTTAATATTAATCACTTGCTCGTTTAATTGCGTTTATTATTTAGCATTTATTTTTGTCAATGTTTTGAGCTTGCATGCCCTTTTCTATGTAATGAATAAACACTATCGACCTTTGTGGTCAGCTTTAATATTATTCACTTGCGCGTTTAATAACGTTTATTATTTAACACTTATTTTTTTCATTTTAATTTTGTATGTGGGAATTGATGCTCGATCTAGTGATGGACGATAACATATGGAGACGTGCCAGTGATACGGATTCAGGTTTCGCTGGGGCAAGGTCAAGGTCGCGCTTGGAACCTTATTCTCGCGGCGCGAACAGTCCCATCGTGAGCTGGGTGTTGTTCATGTTTGGTACACTGGTGGTGGAGCTCAGTCGAGGTGTCCCTGTCTGGCTAAAGTCCTACTCGTCCTATGAGCAAGGGACCGCCTCTCTTTTGTTGGATTTCATGTTCGTACTTCAACATGCTTCCGTGGCCAAGCAAGGTCTTTTGTTTTTAGAGAGATCAGGTCGACTTCCAAGTCTCAGCTTTAGCTCGGGACTCAGTTGTAATATTGTTTTAGCTTATTAGTGTTCCAAGTTCGAGGTAGATGTTTCCCATTTAGGTGTTCGAGATAGTACGCCCCATTGTGCGTCTTGTCGTAGACGCGGTAGGGGCCCTCCAAGTTGGCGGCCAACTTTCTTTCACGGGAATTTTTCTGATTTCTCTGGATGACTAAACTGCTGATCTAGAACTCGTGTTTTATGACTTTGGCGTCATATTGCAGAGTTTTTTTTCTTTAACTTAGACTCTCGAAGATATTCCCCTAACTGAATCTTTTCGACCAGATCGATCTCCCCCCTTAGGGCTTTGTCATTTAGCTCCTCGTCGAGAGGGGTTTGAGTTTGCCTAGCTGGCTCCCTAGTTTCTACGGGGATGACCGCCTCGATTCTGTATGTCATTTCGAAAGGCGTCTCCCTGGTGGTTGCCTGGGGTGTCGTTCTGTAAGCCTAGAGCATGTTGTGGAGCTCTTTAACCCACCCCTTCTTTGTTTCGCCTAGCCGACGTTTAAGTCCCTACAAGATAACTCTGTTAGCAGATTCTGCTTGCCTGTTCGTTTATGGGTGCTCAATAGACGTAAAATGCTGCTATGTACCGAGCATAGCGACAAAGTCTTGGAATTTATTATCGGTAAATTTTGTCCCGCTGTTAGTGACAAGTGCTTGCGGTATGCCGAACCGGGTAAGCACGTTTCTTTTGTAGAAACAAAGAATATTGTGCGACGTGATTTTGGCGAGGGCTTTGGCCTCTATCCACTTTGTGAAATAATCAACACTGACGATTAGGAATTTGTTTTGGTGTGATCCTTGGGAAAAGGGGCCGAGGAGATCCATTTCCCATTGGGAAAAAGGCCACGGGGAAGACAACATTACGAGCTCGTGCAAATGTGCCATGTGCATATTCGTGTTGTGTTGGCAGCCGTCGCACTTTTTGACCATCCTCTTTGGCGTCCTACTGCATCATGGGCCAATAATATCCTGCTCACAGGCCTTCCGAGCTAAGGATCTCCCCTAGGTGTTAGGCTTTAATTTCCTCGTGGATCTCTCGTAAGATATCAGGGACTTTAGTCTCCCCGACACACTTTAGAAGTGGGATGGAGAATCCCCGTCTATATAGTCCCTGCTCAACCAGAACATAAGAGCAAGCCCAGTGCTTGGTAGCGCAAGGTTCCTTTTGGTCAATCAGTAGTTCTCCTTTGGTGAGGTAATTGAACAATGGGGTCATCCAATAGGTGTCGTCCCTGATGGTGTTTATGCTGAGCAACATAGTGGATATCTCGATGCTCGGGTGAGAGAGTGATTCCTGAATGACGAATTTGTTTTTGCCTTTCTTCCTTGTGCTCACCAGCTTTGAGAGAATGTTTGCTTGGGTATTCTGTTTGTGGGGAACATATTTGACTTATGCCTGATCGAACTTTTTCAATTTCTCTTGAACCAGGTTTAGGTATTTTAAACAACCGTCTGAGCAAATCATTAAGATGAAATCAATGAAGTCGCCATCAAACGTTTTTTATCCCACGGGAAGGGAAAGGTAAACATCAAGTAAACCTGATAAGGGTGTAATAAAGGTCGAGCTACCAAGAGATACAGGTCCATGAGTCTGTTACGCGAGGGGAAGGTATTAGCACCCCACATGCCCGTAGTACTCTACGGTATCCACTCATGTTGTTCTAATTAAAGGGTGTGTTTCAAGTCTACAACTTAAGAGCTAAAAGATAATGGAAAGATGGAATGCGTGCAAAAGAAAAGAGAAAATAATGTAGGGAAAACAAATTTGTGCTCGCTCGGGCTCTACCCCAATGCCTACATATCCCTTTTAAAGAAAGCAGCCATAGTTCGGCTCAAAAGTTTCCGTTGGTTTGTATTTTTTAATGAACAATATTAATTTTGCCTTCTACCACAACTCGATCTTTGGAGACTCACGCGTCAGCACATAAGTGAATTAACATGTTCTTTTGAAAAAGTTTGAAAGAAAGGCCCGAAGGCGAAAAAAGTTTGTATTGGTTGATATTTTTTACCTCAACGAAGGATTTGAAAGTTGTTAAATGTTTTATGATTTGCCAAGAAAAAGATTTTTTGTCTTAATGCAAGGATGCAAAAGAAATAAAAACATCTAAGGGGGACTAACCTAAATCTATCCCTAATGTTGTCATACAATGATTTACCCTAAGGTTGAGTTTTGAAGGGAAATCTCTACCCTATGTTAGCATGCATGAATACCTATCCTAATGTCTAGCTCGAAAGCTACGCTAATCGAGCAATCCTAAGGTAAGCATGGTATAGAAAACAAATAAACAAACAAGTGCTTTGGCAAAAGCACACAAACATGAGTAACACACACTGACTCAAAGGGATGGGGAAATAAGAGAAATGCTTTAGCTAAGGGGAGCATATCACCTGAAGCAAACAAGCGGGAGACAAATGAAATAAAAAAGAAAAAAAATTATTTATCTAAGGGGAGTGTATCACCCGAAGCAAACAAGCGGGCAGCGGAGTATCAACAATTGCCATTGAGAACTCCTGACAAAGTGTGGGGGTTGGTTGCAAACCCTCCTCCATATGACTGACTCGATACACAAGATCTGCACGACTCCGAAGCATCGATGTACAACATGACCTAAGTATGACATGGACTAGAATATGCGGGGGTTGATTGTGAACCCTCCCCACTTGCCTCCTTTTGAGGACTTATCATCTGTAATACAATATCTGCACAAATGTAAGCACACGTGCGAAATACCTACTTCAAAGGTTGGATTTTAAACAAACACAAATAACATATAGAAAGCGGTTCCTGCTACAGGACTTTAAACAACAAATTCGAGCGCACGCTCTATATTTCCTACTTCACACGATATCTAGAAAGCAGTAAAATTCCTAGTTCTCATGATATCTAGAAAACACTAAAGTACTGAAATGAGATAAACAAGAGGAAATACCAAATGAATATCAATTCGTAGCAAAGCGTATCAACACAAAGAAACCCGACAGTCTTTGCGAAAGCTTCGTCAATCAAGGAAAAGAGTCAAAAATCAAATGCTCGGAAAAGTGTCGAAGCATTATTGATGTGAAAATAAATCACAAGCGAAAGGTGCGCCAAGCATGTACGAATATCACACAATAATCATGTATAAGACTCAAATCTCAACAAGCAAAAGTAAGTCAGGAAACCTTGGCAACAAAATGATAACTAAACATAATCGATAATAGAAAACTCTAATCAAAATTCTTTAAAAAAAGAAATCTTAGAAAAAATCTATTATATTACCTTTTATTATTTTTTCCTATTATTTCCATCACTACTTTTTTTATTATCAAAACTTGATTAAAAAAAAAGAATTAGAAAAGAAATATAAAAAAATAATGAACATGGGATGTGAAAATTGAAATCAGGGTGTGCTGTAGTAGTGGAGGCGCTAAGCCCCATCAGGTCGAATTCAATAAGCTGTTTTTGTAACACAAGCTAACAGGCTTCCAAAAAATCAGTTGTTATGGGCTTTGGGGTGCCAAATATGTTACAATGTGTATGGTTCAGCCCGCAGGCGCAAGGCCCAATGCAAGATCAGCATAAGTCCAATCCCATCCTTTTTTTTAGCAAAAGTAATTGATTTTAAAAAAAAAACAGTCATGGGCTCAGCATAGCTTGATCCATCCAATGGATCCAATAACAATAACTCATCAACAGCGTTTCCGCTTCGACTCTCTCTGGTTTGCAAACTCCGTCTCAATTTTCGACCGTCGTCTCCTACTCATCGTTTCTCCTCACCATCGTTCACGACTCTCCGTGCCACAATCACCGTCTCCGTTTGCTTTGATCTCGTGTATTTTCCATAACATTGAAGAAAGTGCTCAAAGTGACGAGAGATGGAAGGAATCAACTTACTGACCGGAAGCAAACTCCGGCGGTCCTTCAATTAGCGACATCGTCGTCGACGATGAAAAGGCTCGAAGACGTTTCTTTAAGAACTCAGGTTTGTCCTCGTGCTCATCCTCTCCGTCTTCTACTTCTTCTGATCTTGCTTTTGCGATTTCTGCGTTGTTATTACTGAACCTACGTTGAAGATTGATACAAAATTTGTTGATGCAGATTCGGCGTTGTCGCGGAAATTATAATTTCTCTCCTTTGCATTTTCTGATGTATCACGTCTAAACATGGGCTTCATGGTACGAGATTTAGTGATGAGTCAGCATTGGAATTTTAAATGGAACTTCACTGAGCACCCTTCCCTATGAAGTAGTTAGTCAGTTTGTAGATAGGATGGAGTAATGAATGGAGTAAGTTGTTTCTGATTTTTTTTATTTTGGCCATTTACAAGTTTTGTGATCTGAATTTTAATGGTGGCAAGCTGCTTTGATGATGTATGGCACGAGTTCGAAAGTCGCAGCAGGATTGGTCATGAATTGGTTTTTTTTCTGAATTGGTTTCTATACACTATTTTGTGCTACTTGACTGCTACAGCTGATTTTAGTCGTCGTTTTGAGTATACTTGGCTGCAATCTGAATTGTTCAACTATTCTCTTTTGAACTTGTATATTGCATGGACTGTTGTGACTGTATGTTTCAATTGCAAGCTTTTTGAACTGGTTATATTTGGATTTGAATAAGATTGCACATGTACTGATGTTTTTGTCAATTGAAGGTATATTGTGTTAACATTATATTTTCCTCTAAGACTACATTAATGATGGGCTATATTGATGACTTGGTTTGGTGCATATGACTAAGCATTATATTGAACTTCGTAGATTTTTTCTTATGGAATGGCATGGAGCATGACTCAAGGATGGTATCTTAGGCCTGGAAAGGAAACTGCAAGATAGTTTAAAAAGGGATTTGGAAAAGAAGATGAACATTATATTTTAGGCTTAGAAACAAGATTTTTGGGTAGCTTTTGATGTATATGGAATAGTTTGAACTTGTAATGGTTTTTGGATGTAACAAAACTTGATTGGAATTGTAATGCTTCTATGCCTTTGTAGTAAATTAATGTAATATGGTGTACGACATCTTCTTGTAATGTAACTTGTTTTGTGTAATTTCTTTATGTAATAGGCTAAGGTAGTGACTTGAATGGATTTTTGGATTTGTCCATGTTTTGAAATGTAGTTAGATAATTGAGTACACCTTCTTTGACCTTATGTTTGTGAAATCCCAATGTCTCGCATTCTATCAATTTGAATGAACTCTCTTGCTTGAATATCTTCAAATGAACGAACCTAAGCTTCCTTAAATCAACGTGAATGAATCCATGCTTAGATGTCTTCATATCCTTAATTTGAAACCCTAATCTTCCATATGAAGCTTTAGATCTTGATCTCAAGGCATTGAAATGAAATCCGAAGAAAGTAGATTGTATCACAAGTAAACCAATCGACCAGATGAAGAGCTTTGCATCGTAGGGTATAGAAACCCTAATTTGTGAAGAAGGTCCAACTGAATCTTCTTCTCTGGAATAGAGCTTGTGCCCGCATGACTTGAGATTCAAGCAATGATTTCCTTCTTATTTGTCAAAGATATACCAAATGAAATCCTAGTTATTCATGGACAGTATCCTCTGATGATAGCCTTACCTGATGATCACAACTTCACAGAGAAACCTCTTTTGAATGGTACATGATTTAGAAAAATTAACCCTAATCAAAGGATGATGGTGAGTACAAAGAGGTGATGAATGCCTGATTTAATAGTCCTGAGGTGGCCTTATAGAGCAACTTGAAAATGAACATGGGAATACGGAAAGAAATATGACCAAGATGGCCTTGACATAAAAACCGAATGAACCTTAGTTGGTGAAATGCTGACAAGCACAAACTTGGTAGAGAAAAACTAACTCTTTCCTCGAATGCATCTGAATGAGTAATTGCCCCGTAGCTTGAAGATAACGGAACCCTCAATAACCATAGATCCCAATCCTAATTCCACACTTTACTGCTTGAAGAATAACTAGAAGAAATACGCTTTATTGATTTATACCTTAGACACCGAAAACCCTAACTTGCACAATCAACTGATCTTTTAAACCTTAGGGTATTTATTGAATGTGATGCATGTTAAGTTAGTAACCTAATGAAATATATGCAGACGAATGCAAAAGTCTAAGCCAGATAAAAGAAATTATGAGGTGTAACGGTATTCAATGAGGTTGTCATTCTTGGCCTGGTATTCTCCCCATACTTGGGATGCAACAAGTTTTGAGTTGGTGAAGATCGGCACTTCCTAGGCGCCCAAGTTTTCGGCTAGCTATAACCCTGCAAGTAGTGCCTCATATTCATCTTGGTTGTTCGACGTTGGAAATGACAAGATGAGCAAATACTCGATCACAAAACCATCCTTGTTCTCAAGGAGGATGCCCGCCCCGCTTCCTGTCAAACTGGATGCTCCAGGGACCATTTTAGTATTCGACCGACCATGTCTGGTCGCCCAAGTAATTATTTTATAGGCTGGTCGGTTCGCACAATAATCATGTGGGACAAGAAGTAATGCCTCAGTCTCCTTGTTGCATTGATGAGGGCCAACATAACCTTTTCGATTTGTTGGTATCTAACCTCGGGGCCTTGTAGTGCTTTGCTAGTGAAGTACATGGGCTTTTTCCCGTCAGTAGTTTCGCGAATGAGGACCGCTCTCTGTGACACCCCAAATTTATTCAAGTGTTAAATAATTAGGAATTTAATTATTAAATTAATTAAAGGCTTAATTAATAATATTTTGAATTAAATGGATGAATTAATTATGAAATTAAAAAGGAAGACCGGGGGTGTAAGGTTGAATTAGAGGTGTGTGAAGTAAAAAGCTCTACTAAATAATAACTAATTTATTACTATTATTTGGCAAATAATAAAAGGAATATAAAAAGAAGGATAAAAAGGAAAAGAAAAAGAAGGTTATTTGGAAAAGTCATTATACGTGAAATTGGAGAAGAGAAGAGAAGAGAGGAAAAAGCCAAACGCCGTGAATTCGAAGGATCATCGCGAGGTAAGGGGTGATTTCATTCAGTTAATATGCCTTATAGGTTTTAGAATCAATAGGATTGATTAAGCCTGTTAGGAATCCCAATTTAGGATAGTTAGGTTTATGAAATTCAAACCCCAATTCCATGAATTTTTATGTTTTGATTCAATTTGATATTATGAGGAAATTGTATGATGTTATGGTGTGTTACAATCTCATTGGAATCATGCATTATAACTTATTTTGACATTGCTGTGAGTTGGATTCAAATGGGTATGAATTGGATGGGATTGGAGTAGTAAAATGCTGTCAAAAGTGCAGAATTTGACTCTGCAGGTCGTGGGAACCGGTTCCCAGTGGGGAGGAACCGGGTTCCACTGTGTGATTTTATAAAAACTGGTAAAAATGCACGTAGGAACCGGTTCCTGTATAGGTAGGAACCGGGTTCCCATACATTTTCCAGAAACGTGATTTTTGAACTTCGCAGGAACCGGTTCCTGCATATGTAGGAACCGGGTTCTGCTGTAACTTTTTGAAAAATATTAAACTTTAAAAATCCGTAACTTTCAAACCGTAATTCCATTTTAGTCGCGTTTTGGACGTTGTTTCTTAAATTAAATACTCTATTTTATAAAATGAAGAAAATAACCGTAACTTGATTTTATTTTGAAAATGTGTTGACCTTCTGATTATGCGGTTTGTTATTATGTGCATATTTGGTGTATATGCAATGGTGTATCCATGATAATTGATTGTATCAGGTCTTGGTGGATGAAGTGCATGTTTATGCTGTTTGATGTGTGTATGATAAATAATGATATCATGTTTTTGGTTTTGGGTCAGTTATGATAAATTGATGTATTTCATAGACTGATTTGATGTTGCATGCTAGTGATGTGCGTGCATATGCATTGTTTTGGTGAAGTTAATTCCCATTGTGTAGAATTTGACTTGTATTACCGTTAACCGATACCCGGGTGATGATGGGTGGTTAGGCTGGATTCGTGTCTGGGTGTTTATGGACGAATCGATGGTTGCTGTATCCGGTTGATGATGGATCAGTGTTGGGTGACTTGGTCACGTGTTGGTACCACATGCATTGTGTCTGCATTTGTGTTTGCATGAAATTGTAACATGTTAGGATGTCTTCCAGTGTTACAATTCTTTGATTGATTATTGATTTGTGCATAATGACTTGTATGATTGGAACTGCGTGTTGAACCTGAATTTATGCTAAAATGGGTGAAATAATATGCTTGTGATATAATGTTGATTGAGAAGCTTATAATGCATGTTAATTATGAGAAATATCACCCTTACTTTAACAATTTCAGATTAAAGTTAGCAGCTTAGGAGTTGGTGAGGATGGCTCTAGAGCTATGTTACTTTAAGTCCGCGTGTCAGTGTCGTGCTCTAATAGGTTGTAACACTGGGAGAAACGTTTGAATGATGAGTTTTATTTTATACTCTATTGTTTAATTTATGTTGAGAATACTTATGAAGTGAAGTTATTCCGGTTTTGAGACATTTCCGCTGTGTAGAACATGATATTGATTTGAATATTTATCTTAATAATTCCTTCAGTAAAGCATGATAACTATAGATTTGAGGTTTTTATATTTATCTCGGATTGTGACATCCTTGTTTTCCATGTTACTCCGATTTAATTAATATATTCGCGGGTTATTTAGAAGTGGTGTTACAATAGTGGTATCAGAGTATAGTCGGTCTTGTCTTGTGTCGTTATCCCTTTTGTATGTGACTACTGTAAGATGACACTGTCGATACTTGTGTGCTGATGAGGTTGTTTTGTAATGTTACAGAATAATGGCCGGAAGAGGTAACGGAAGAAACGACGATGCTATTGCTGAAGCATTGGGAATGTTGGCTGGAGTACTCGGAGGGAACCAGCAGGGATCTGTGATTGGTGCTGACCGACAATTGGGGAATTTTCAGAGGAATAATCCTCCATTGTTCAAGGGTGCACATGATCCCGAAGGTGCTCAGAAGTGGTTGAAGGAGATCGAGAGGATCTTCAGAGTAATTGACTGTGCTGAAGAGCTGAAGGTAAGATACGGAACTCACATGTTAGCAGAGGAAGCTGATGACTGGTGGGTTGCTACCAGAACTGAAATGGAAGAAGATGGTATTGCGTTGACTTGGGCTGTGTTCAGGAGGGCTTTTCTGAGGAGGTACTTTCCTGAGAACATCAGACGCAAGAAGGAGATTGAGTTTCTGGAACTCAAGCAGGGTAACAAGACTGTCAGTGAGTATGCTTCGAAGTTTACTGAGTTAGCGAAGTATTATGCTCATTATACTAACGATGCAGATGGAGAATTTTCCAAATGTATCAAGTTTGAGAATGGTCTTCGTGATGAGATTAAGCAGGGTATTTGGTATCAGCGTATCCGAAGATTTCTTGATCTGGTTGACTGTAGTAGGATTTTAGAGGAGGATCTTGCTAGCACTAAGTCGAATGCTCGAGGGTATGTTGATAGGAAGGGTAAGCAACAGATGGATCGTGGTAAGCCTTATGATAGAAGTAATCAGAGACCCGGTGGTTGGAAGAAGTTTGGTGGAGGAGATTCTAGTTCTTCCATTAAGTGCTACAAGTGTGGTGAGACAGGACATCGTATGGTGGATTGCAAAAGTAATG